GCAGGACCTGTCAGTGGCGAACTTTAGCCACCGACACAAGTATTATTATGAAAACGAACACTTTAGGCTATCTTAGATACCGACGGGGAAAATAGGGTAAACATTAGTCCAGAGACTCGAGAAGTTACTGGTGGAACTGTCGTGGACAGCAAGCTAGGGTGAAAACGTTCAACTTCGTTTTTTAGTAAGACTTTTACGGCACTCGGAACACAGGCCACAAAAGTTCAAAAGAATAGAGATGTTATAAGAGAGTTTTGTTTTTAAAGGAGAAGAGAAAAGGCCAATAGATATTTGATGGGAAAGAGGGAGCAAACCACACCAGAACACCCGCCAACCACACAGGTCAACAAACTAGAACAGCCAAAACTGAAAGATGGATAGAGGACCAACCACATATGAGCACCCACCAGCCACCCAACCTCTAGAGAAGAACGAAACCATCAAAGCGGGAATAAACGACTCAGATCGAAAGGCTAGCACAAGACCAGATCGGGTGGGGGGGGGAAAAAAACATCGTTTCCGTCTTGTACGCCCCCGGGTGATAAGAGGACTACTGCTGAGACTAAACGTAGAACACCACGACCACAAGACCAATGATGAAAGTAGCAACAAAACCTTCTTATCACCAGGGAGCTCAGCAAAGCAGCAAAATTGCTTAGCGACGCTTTAATTTTCCCGTTACACAAACCTCTGATTACACGCGGGATACAAACACTGTGGCCCTTTTGATCTTCGTCCACCCAAGAGCTGTATCTCTCCGGGACTAAAAAGAAAATGTAATCGTTCATGATGGCGGCACATAAAGTTCTTCCTTTCATTGCGGTGAACCCATTCCGCTTGTTATACGTTCCGCCTTTTATCCATTGGTGCTGCCTCCGGGGACAACAATATTAGAAATTGATTGTTGTATAATCTAATAAAGAACAAAATCGATGGCTTAGCAAGTGGACCTCGGAAAGACCCTTTCAGAATAGACTTACACAGTGAGAGTGATTTTTTGTTTGTTTTAGTAAAGTTTTACAGCTCTCGCAACCAAGGTCATATGAGCGCCAAGGGGTGGATGTCAACAGAGAAGTCCAAACGGCGAATCAGGCTTACTCTAGTCACCCCTCTAGCCTCAACAGCACAAAGTCTGCTTCTACTATCAAGGCATCTGGAAATAGCAGTTCACAAGAGGGTGAAAAAAAATACAAAAGAAGTAGAGGAAAAATGACGATAGTAAGAATGAGGAAAGAAAAAGCAGCAGTTCCCCCTATGTTGTTCCGCACAGTATGAGCATGTCATTGATAAAATCAGCCCATTTACAATTCTACTGTGCATAAAAACATGTCAATATCCCCCCTTTGGAAATTACCCTAAAGACAACTTCAGTCAGTAGTACTGCCCTACGGATTGGGGAGAGGGGGGGGGGGATATTAGAGATTTCGCTCGGCTTATTTGCAAAATAAAAGCGAGGGAGGTGGGGGTATTAAAGACGCGCAAACAGGCGCGGTAAGAGATTGCGTGTCTGAACCCTTAAAGATTTTCAATCAATCATCTTCAAAATTTCCAAAGACATGTCATATCAAAAGATGCCTTTATACATCAAAATATTCTGAACAAGCAGGACATGACTTCGCTTTTGTTGTTAAAGGTTATGGTGTACACTGTCGCCAAAGACACCAACATGGACTAACTTGTAGTTCAAATATCTAGTGCTGCGAGAACTTCCCCTGTTGTTTTATCCTGTCACTGTCAAGACTTTTTGGAACTCCTTTTTTGCAGTTCGGGGAAATTGTCGACAGACAACAAGAAAGGGAGAGAGGGGAGGGGGAGAGAGAGAGAGAGAGAGAGAGAGAGAGAGAGTGTGTGTGTGGGGGGGGGGGAGACAGACAGACAGAACGTGTATGTGTGCGTGTCTTTGTAGCATTATCGGCAGTGATAAGAGAACAGGACTGCTCACAACTGCTAATTCTCTCTCTTTTAAACAAACACACAGTAATACAGTGACACACTTATAATACGTATATTTAACTTACTTTTCCCTTTTTGACAAGCCTTCGGTCATTTCTCTTCAGTCAACCCACCTATATTTCTTTTTTGTATTTTTTTCCCTTCAAAAAACGCCTTCGAGGCCTAGACTCGTGTCCCGTGAGGCTCAAGTTATACCATAATAGCTCGACACAGCCACGGTCAATACTACAAGCATTCCACTGGGTCCACAGCAGCCATACAGACGGCCAATCCATTTATTACTCTTCCATCACGAACCCCCCCCC